TATTTATAGTTATCGCCATTTAAAGCATATTTCCTGGCCGCGGCTACGACCGCGTTGAAAATTTAATGCCTTCCGCTCTTTCCCGCCGCCCGCCCACCCCCCACCGTGCCCCTCTCTCCCTTCGCCTCGGCCGCGGATTGCAAGGATCCCGCTGCACCGAGGGCGATACACAATGCGCGCACCGGAGAGAGAACCGTTAATCGCGTCCTTTCGTGCTGCGCCAAAAGCCAAAATGCGTCCGCGATGCAACGGTTCCCTTTTTCTTTCTTTTTTCCTCCCTCCCCCCCTCTCTCTCTCTTCTCTCTCTCCCTCTCTTCCTCTCTTTTTTTTTCTTTTTTTACTTCTGCCTCCGCCTTCGTCTCCTCCTCTTCCCTCTCGCGTGCCTGCGGGATCCGCTGCGCTCTCTCATTCTCTCGTCGTCGTCGTTGTCATCGTTTTAACCCCCGGCCATTAAATTTGGGCAACGGCGGAATTAATTCGATGATCGTCGCCGAGGCGTGGCGGAGAGGACGGGGAGAGACGCGACAGGCCGATCTCCGTACGGTTGTATCTCTCCTCTCTCTCTCTCTCTCTCTCTCTCTCTCTTTCTCTCTCTCTCTCTCTCTCTCTCTCTCTCTCTCTCTCTCTCTTCTCTCTCTCGCGCGCGCGCCTTTTATTTATTTCCACCGGCCCGTTACGTCACACATAGGTGTCACAGATGCGCGCCGTCGATGCGCTCGCGCGCGCGTAATAATTCATTCGCCGTGTATATTCGGTGCATATTCGCGCGGAAGCGGCGGCGTCGGCGGTTCTCGCTGTGAAATTACGGTGCCGCATAAATTACGGCGAAATTACAGCCACGCGCAAAATATGGTGGATTCTACGTGTAATTACACTGTTTTACCGGCAAATGATACCGGCTAACTGACATTGCGCTAAACACGGACGTTCTGACGTTGCGACGATGTTACTCACTTAGAGGCGGTCTGTATTAGCGGGAATTGCCGGGAATACATCCACTCTCTCTCTCTCTCTCTCTCTCTCTCTCTCCTCCCCCTCCTCGTCCCATGGGCTCTCTCTCGCGCAGTGGCGCGCGTGCGCGCGCGCGCTCCGTCGTTTTCGACGTGTTTCTCCGTTTAAAAAACACGACGAGGCAGAGAGCGCATACACGTCACGTTCCGCGGCCGAGGAACCTTGCGCCATGCGTAAAGAGCGCTGCAAGCCGCGGCATCAGCGCCGTAGTCACGTTCGCTCTTTGTTTCGAGTTGAGCGCGAGGTCGTTGTCCCAATTCCCGAGTCGTATCGATGTCGCCGCCGCCACCGCCGTTGTCGTCGTCGTCGTCGTCGTCGTCGTCGTCGATAGAGATAACAGAGACGCGATAACTCACGATTTAGCGACGCACCTCCCGGCGAGCTAATAAATTCCTCTATATGCAGCCGAGCTAGGCCGGGCAGATCCGCGGCGCCGATAACAGATGGCAAAATTATCGTTATCCTCCGACTGTTATCTCTCTGCCTCCGTCTCGTTCCCTTCTTCTCTCTCTGCTTCGCCTCTCTCACTTTCTCGCGCTGTCGGTCGGTCGGGCCGCGAACGGGGCCGAAATCGCGCGATCCGATATCGCGCGCTCGCGGAAGCGAGGCTCTTGTTCCGCATCGTCCACACGCTGAGCGCGCGCGCGCGCGCGCGCGCGTGCGCATGCGCGCAGCGTTTCGTCGCGACGCGGAGATTCTTCCGCGCGTCACTTGCGGGCCGCGACTTTTGCGTTAAATCGCCGATAATAAATCGCGTCGCGCCGGACTTTCCCGGCGGTGGCTCTCCGCGCCATTCGCGCGGCTCGATAATTCTACTACCCTCCCCTCGCGTCTCTCACTCCCTGTTGATATCCAGATGCATACCGAATGTTTGGATGATATCATTTCGATACATCTCGCGACGAGCGAAACGGAAAATGCGCGAGCTTAGGTGGCGGGGGCACCCTCGTAAATAATCTCCGTGCCATCTGTCTTAATAGGCGGCTAACATTACGGAGGCGCGAGCGGATACACCGATGTGTGTTGCGCGTGGCTTGAATAAATAAACAATCCCCCCTCTCTTCTCTCTCTCTCTCTCTCTCTCTCTCCCCCACTCTGTCGCGCGCGCACTCACCGGCTACGTTTAATATCCCGTGAGGCGACGTGCATATGCAACGACCTCGCGACCGAATGTCACGGTTTCGGACATACGTGTCACATGGAAAATGGAAAATCGCATAAATAAATATCAATGCATTATTGATTCGCCCACGGCCGATCCGGCCGGTGACGCGTTCGAGTTTATACGGCCGTGTCGCGAGGTCTCTTCAAGTAAGATAAATGTGGCGCGTGTATAAAGTCACTCGCGGCTCCGTCCGCAAAATTTATGCACGCGCGTGTGTTAAATAAAAAGAACAATTGCATTTGCAACAACCGAGTCACTGCCGAATCAGATTTTTTTTTTTTTTTTTCCTTTTCTTGAGTGTTCGTACGAATTACAAGGCTCGCGAAATTGCTGAAATGTTCCTGCTATCCGTATTTTCGATTAATTAATTCCCAATTTAGAATTCAACAACGACAACTCGATGCGAGAGCTTCTTCGTTCGGCTGATATCGACAGCTGGATACTTTAATCAACCTGAGAAACTAGAGACGTTGAAAAACGCACCGAGCAAAAATCCCGAGTAGAAGCGAGCGGCGAGACTCGTAGCGTAAAACGTCTCGGGAACACAAATACGCGATTGCCGCTATTATCTCTCATTGAAAGCGTGAAAAGCCGGCGTTTAAAGTCAGTCGTCTCGTCCGGCGGAAAAGCGAAAGGGAAACGCGCGCGGCGCTTTGTGAGCGTCGCGCGGGATCCCACCTTCGGCGGGCGAGGCGCATTCAGCGAAAGTCGTCGTCGTCGTCGAGCTCGTTTCTTACCGTTTGCAAATTTTAAGCGTTGGTCGGCTCTTTGACGCCTTTTACGAACGGCGCAAAGGGAGTTTTTCCGTTCTTCCTGTCGTGTTGGAGCTGCACGGACGGTCGTGATCGTGCGCGTGTGTGTGTGTGTGTGTGTGTGTGTGTGTGTGTGTGTGTGTGTGTGTGTGTGTGTATGTGTGTACCCTCACACGTCCGCGGCGACGCTCGTTTTTACTGCCGCGGCACACTCACGCGCTTCTCACGCGAGAGATTACGAAACGACCGTCGTCGACGTCGTTGCTCCGTTTTGCTAATTCAAGCCAGACGGCACTCGGCTGATTTTCCACGGCCCGACGCCACGCTATTCGGAATATAAAAAGACCCTCGCGCGCGGCGCTGAATTGCCCCACCGAGAGGCGACGTGCGAGAGGATGTAACGCGGTTACATTAATTCCGGAGCTGGGCGCGTGGGTGACATCTGTCAAGGGATCGTCCTGTTCGATAGCTCGCCGCGACGAGGAGAAATTCGCGATTTAAGCGAGCCGACGCGTCACGCTCGACAGCACGCGAAAAATTCATCCGAGAGGATCTTGCAGGTGGAGCGATGTTGCGGCGCGACGACACGGCGGCGCACGCAGTGCGCCAGCGCGACCGCCAGCGCGACTCGTGTCACGTCCCGGAAACGTCATCGCGAGGCGTTGTGTATCGTGTTGTACGAAAATAACGGAACGGTACGTTATAAAAATCGGATGATTTTATATATGATTGTTACTTGGTAGGAGAGGATGAAAAAATGAGTGAAAATAAGAACAGAAGAGTAACCGCTCAACTAATTTAATGTATGCTATATGCGCATACATTTGGATCCTGGTTCGGAGTATTAGTAGAAAACCGGACTCCCCGGACGAGAGTCCAAATATTTGAGTGTATGTTGAATCACTCTTGGCTGAGTCTCTTGTTCTTTCGTTTCGTATTGCACACTCTCAATGACCTCTCATATGTTCCTGACTGCGTTACAATTCCTAGATATTATATAACTGTGCGAGAAAATATCGGAATTATTAATACAACAGAAGGATGAATATGTAAGAAGAAGAAAAAAATTACGAATACACTTCGATACGTCGCTCACGTCTCACGTGAGAGAAGCGCTGTCAGATTAGGAAGAAAAATTGAAAGGAACGTGTTTAGATCGTTCTGAAAGACGCCAATAAAACGCGCTATCAGCCCGGAGTCACGCGACCGTAGGCGGGCTCAAGCAGCCGTTAATTTATCGACACATTTTTCTCGAAACGAGTCGAGCTGGTCGCGTGCAAAATACAGCGCGAAACTGTGGAATATTTCGACTAGCGGGAGTCTCCCGTAGCGCCGAGCGGCTTCTCGAGTCCAGGCCGCGCGAGTATTCGTGTAGCGCAACTATTCGAACACTTCGTAATCATAGTGCGTGCGCCGTCCGCGGCCTGCACGAGAGATCGGCTACGCATGCGATACGATGCGATGCGATGCGATGCGATGCGATGCCGAGCCGGGGAGAGAGAAAGTGCGGGACGAAAAGAGCGAGAAAGACGGCCGCGTGCGCCACGACGCTTTCCAATAATTTCTGCGCTTTGTAAATTCCCGCCGCTAATTCGTGGTATTTTCCCGCTGTATTTTATGAGCGGCTACCGGCTTTGCCTCGGAAATTGTTTCCAGGAATTCTCTGTACGCTGTTAAATTACTGTACTTTCACATAATATGTGTGCGGTGGATTTCAGCTCGGCATCGCTTCAGCCACGTCGCGCTTCGGGCGCGGTAGCCGGCGAGTTTCCTCGCTGGAATTTCGCGGCGTGTCGCGCCGCGCTTCCGACGAAATTTTATTTTCGAACCTAATTTCTTTCAATTACGCTCGACATTTTTCCTCTCTCTCTCTCTCTCTCCCCCTCTCTCTCCCTCTCTCTCTCTCTCTCCCTCCCTCTCTCTCTCTCTCTCTCTCTCTCTCTCTCTCTCTCTCTCTCTCTCTCTCTCTCTCTGCCGTCGTCGTCGTCGTCGTCGTCGTCGCCGCGTGTCCGTAGAATAGATGGTGCTGACGGGCCGAGCTCTCACGGAAAACTCTTCTCTTTCTGTTTCAGGCCACCGCCACGCCGCCGAAGCGACCATCGGTGAGTAGAAATCCTTTCGCGACGATCCGCGCTCTCCGCGTTTCGTCCTTTTCTTCTTCTTCTTCTTCTTCTTCTTCTTCCTCTTTTTCTCCGTTTTGTTACCTCGACGATCCTCCTGTCGCCGTTATATTCCTCCGATAGCGCGTTTCTTCTCGCCAACAATGCTGCGACGGGCCGCAATCTGCGCTCTCGCCGGCATTGAGAGGCGAAATTATACGCACGCACGCACGCAGGCAGGCAGGCACGCAGCTGGTGTCACTTAACAACGTGTCGTCCTTCGCCGATGAGGACGGGCGAAATGCGCGCGGCTTAATGACCGCGCGAATGATAAAAGCGAAATTAGTACGTCGCGATACACACGAAGCGGGCGTGCGGGCGGTGCGGGGGGAGCGCGTCGAGGTGAAAGAGACATCGACGACGAGACGCTTTCAAAACCGGTCGTCTTTGAGAATTTACGACTTCGAGATCGCGTCGTCGTCGTCGTCGTCGCCGCCGCCGCCGCTGTCGCGCTCCAACTCGCGCGACGCAGCGCCGCCGCCGAGTCGAATCGATCGCCGCCGCTGCGAATTTGCATACGCCATTTTTGATTCCACGTATAAAACTCGCCGGCGGCTGCGCGCCGTCGGAACACCGACGCTAATATCGCAAATAAGCGCCAGACGAGATACAAATATTGGCGGCGGCGGTTCGACGGGTCAAGAGCGACGCGAGCGGAAGGGCTCTCGGACGGGGGAAGGGAAGGAGGAAGAGCCCAACGCGATACGCGAGGTATTCGCTCTTGATTGTCCATTAACGACGGGCTCTTGATGGTCCATTAACGACCGTGTCGCGTCTACGGGGGTGTCTATGGGGTGATCGTAAAACGAGGCTCGCAGCGGCGCGAGATCGGCCGCTACCGCATAGGCAGAAAGTATTTAACGCGATGGCGGATTACGTGCGAGCGCTGGTAAAAAAGAAGCCGCGACCCGCGAGAGGAGTGTAGCAAAGTGGAGCGTTCGTCGAGGGGCCTCGCCGTCGGCAGCTGCGAGGATTCTTTAGGATCTCGCCGGATGCAGCATAGATTCCCGGATTCGGCTGGAAATTGCTTATCCGGTCGCGAGACCCATTCGTGAGAAACGACTCTCATGCCGATGTTATTGCCGCTGGGAATTGGCGCTTTTTTTTTCAGCGCCGGTGTATTTGTCGTGAATGAAACGGAGAAGCCCGTCTCGACGACGACGCCCCCCTCCCCCTGCCCCCGACGGGCCCCCGAGTATCGCGCTCGTTTAGATAAAGAGAGGCGAAGGAATAAAATTCTGACGCGAGCTAAAGAGCAGAACGCGCGATGAACTCGGGAAAAGTCTCGGCCTCTGGGAGAGCTCGAAGGCGTTTGAGACGCGTTCGCGCTTTGAGCGCGTTTCTTTGGAAGTCACTTGGCGCGACGATCGGCGTTTTAACTACCCCGCCCGCCCGCGAGAACGAACGGGGCACGAGCCGCGCCATTAGTTGGGAAGTTTCCCAACGACCTGTCAGTCCGTTTTCGCCGGTGCGCTTCGTCTTAGCTACCCCCCCCCTCCCCCCGCCCCCGGAAAGCGGCCGCGACGATTATCCTCTTCCGCCGGATTTTCGCCGGCGCGAAACTTTCGCGGGACCGCTCGAGACGACGAATTGCCCACCGAGCGTCGACGCGACGTCGACTCGGAGGAGGTAGACGCGGCGCCCGCCGGTCGCATCGGTCGTTTCTCCCGTTCTTTCGCGCCGAGGAACGAGCGGCGAAAGAACGGGAATCGTCTGCGCCGAAACGGCGAAACGTGCGAGCGCGATCGCAACAAGTGCGTCGCGGATATTTATTATCTGCCTCCGTCGCTCGGTCGCTCGCGTTAGTCGAAATTTTCAACCTAACCTCTCGGACCTTCGAAGTTGCACTCGAGGCTCCTGTTGATCGGCGTGGTTCGCCGCGGCCTCTTGATTGCGCACCTCAGGAACCGGGGAAAATACATGCTCAAAATTCCCGCGTGCCGTCTTCGGATGAAAAGAGATACTCGCACCTCATGTCGCAGCCGAAGAACGATTAATATGCACGCGATGGATCGCGCATGCGCACGGACTGCTAGCTCTCGTATTGCAGAATTTTGCGTTTGTCTCGACTGGTTGTCGAGGGAGGAGCGGTCTGTTTAGAGCGTCTCGCAAATAATTAGCGATCTCGAGTGTTCTTTCGCACAAAATGTCCTTTTACCTGGAAACGGCACGCAAGAATCTCTCCAGCGTGTCATTTCTCACGTCTGTCGACGTCGCCGTTCGATATGGCCGCCGCGACAGCCGCAATTTCGTACTCTAAGGCTTGTATCGAGTCCCTTTATTGCACTCGACAATTAATTGTATGAACAATTGTGTTGGTTGTGTTTAACCCGCTGCTACTTTGCCGAGAAGTCTTCTTGAGAACCTACCGAGCGAATTGCGCGTTTTCCGCTGCTTAGGGAGGGAACTTTAGTTTCCACATAAATTGAACCTCTCCACGGGTTCTCTCCTGAATCTACACACGTCAAATAGTTTAGAAAGTAAGTAGTTCCAAAGTAGGGCCAGAGCATGTTTTTTCGACTCGGGCGTGTATTCTCCAAATCTCTCGGTTTCGAAGTTTTCCCTCGAAGAGCGGAGTGATCACACACCGGAGTCGCTCGAATTCGAGAGCGATCCTTCACACGCGCGGAGAGCAAATTCTCCACTCTGGAGTAAATATTTTCATTCGAAATTGAAGAGTGATTCTAATGTATTCGACCGCCACGCACAGGAACGCGTTCGCCCTAATCTATTGAAAAATGTTCGCTCATGGGTAAAAAAAGCCTCTAATCGTAAGCGCAGAAAGATTTTTATCAGAATCCGCTTCAAGCTCGAGTGACAAACTCTCCAACGACAAAGCCAGCTGGCGAGAGAGAGAGAGAGGGGGGGGGGAGAGAGGGAGAGAAAGAGAGAGAGAAAATACTCGAGCTTCGAGTATCCATCGGGCGAGACACAGTCGTTCCGATTTCCCAATTACCTCGTGTGCTGTATTATCCCCTGACATAACGACAAATCTGTCATTGTTATCCCCGTTTACAGGCCGACTCGTCGTCTGTTCTATTCCCGACGCATGAAACGGCGATTACCAGCCGGCGAAACTTCATGATTTATTTGCAAAAGAAACAGGGCAAGCCTCTCGGAATTAGGAATGTCCGCGATGCATGTGCGTGCGTATGTGCATGTCTCTCTCTCTCTCTCTCTCTCTCTCTCTCTCTCTCTCTCTCTCTCTCTCTCTCTCTCTCTCTCTCTCTCTCTCTCTCTCTCTCTCTTTCTCTCTACGACCCGTTGCGCGTTATTTCGGAGCACCGCGACGCGTCTCCGGCGAGCGCGCACATCGGCTTAATCCATTCCGTTTAACATCGAGCTGTGTGTGTGTGTGTGTGTGTATGCGCGCGCCATCGGTTGGCAGCGACAATCGGTGGCAACGGTATAAAGCCGATGTTAATATTTGATTTGCCGGTTGCTGAGCGGCGGTGCGCATGCCCGCGCGCCCCCGTATCTTCGACACCGTCCGTTGTTGCCTCCCTCTTAAATCTCGCCCCCTATTTGCGTATCTGTCGCTGGCTCTTAATGAACGGGACTTGTGCCGCGTAAATCGCGTCCTTCTATCGCGAATAAGAATGATCGCGCGTTCGGGCTGTCCGTTACCGCGCGCGAGTTCAATGACTCGCGTTAAACGAGAGCGGTGGGGGGAGGTGGGCGGGGAGGAAGGGGGCGAGGATATTTTATTTCGGATAATTTTGGCCGCGTTGCTAACTTGTCCGCGCGCTCGAGAAAGCGCGATAATTTTGATGCGCTTCGCGAGGAGAGAGCGAGAGAGGGGGGGGGGAGGGGTCGAGGGGACACGTGACATCGTGAAGATTGTCGATCGGACTTCGCGATGAGCTTACTCTATTCTCGTCCGTCGCTCGCAGCCGTCGGCCCGAAGAGGATTAAACGTCGCTCGCGTCGTTGTCGGAACTTTTTCCTACATTTATAAAGCGCGGATATCGATTGCAGACCGCGGCCGGCCGCGCGGGCGACGTGGTGAATCTAGCAATCGCGCTTTTTTTAAAATGCCGATTTATTAATGCCCCCGCGCTCCGCCGCGCGGCGCGGCGGCGGAGCGTCCATACATTGTCCGTGTAACTTTCCTCTTTTACCTACTTGCTCGCCACTTTGTTATGCAAAATGCAGCGTGCCGCATTTGTTGCACCATGTCGATCAGTAACGTGTCATTGTTCACTTTGCGGGGCAGCTATAACGTGTCGGCTGATGTTGCCAGCGAGAGCGGCTCGTCGTTGCGCGACTTGGCGCGTAAAGCGCGCTTCTCGACGCGGCGCGCGGCCTTTGATGTCTCCCGGACGAGCGTCGAGTGCGAAATACCGAAATCTCGATTCCGCTTGATTCCTCCTCCTCCATTTCGTTTCCATTTCTCCGCTTTGCCGACGGCGGTTGACACGCACTGCGCATCGACGTGGTGGAGGAGGTATCTCTGTGTGTCCGCCGGGTGCACACTTGCTCGACTCTGGATATTATTGTCGTTTAAGACCTTCGAATTCGGCTACTTAAGCTCCACTCGGCTCATGTGACTTTCTAATGTGCGGAAAGACTCGCGCTCGGCAACCGCGAGACTGATTTTTAAATAATGCAAACAAAGCGCGTATTTAAAGCGCTCGCTTTTGGCATGAATTTCGGTCTCTAGTCCAAGTGCGCGATAACGCTCGTGCTTTTGGAAGAGCGGCGCATTTTACGTCCACGTCGCGCCGGCCCGACGGAGTCGAGTCAATACGCGAGTCGAGAAAGATGAGATTTCCAAAATACGCTCGAACTTGAGAGCCGAAACACAAGAATCGGTCCAGATCAGGCAAGTGACACATTGATATTTTTATCCCGCCTAACTCCGGGTATTCTTACAACCGCCAGCCTTTAGATACAAATATTTAAATGTCCAACATGCGATACGTGTGCGCATATATCGAACA